AATCGGATCAAATTTGTTTCCGGATATGATGATGATGCTGAAAGGAAGCCAAGAAGTAGGGGTTTATGTTCCCCAAACACTGAAGCTTTCTACCTTACTGAACTTTCCTAGTTCCTTATTTCAGTCTGTCGATTCGATCCTTCTTTTAAGGAGTACTAAGTCAGTGACTTTCGTTGCTACAATCTCGCTGGTTTGCTTTGTTATTTCTTTATTGAGTGATTGCTTCACATTCCCGTATACAGGGTTATATTAACCCAAGTTAATACTAGGGGTCGCGTGGTGGTAATAGATTTAACATAACTTTCTCATCTAGCTGGTAAATGACGCTAACTTTGTTATTTTAAATGAAAATCCCATATTTTTATTGTACAGTTCGATTCTAGAGCTTATTTTTTGCCACTTTTACTGAAAGGAAAATTTGTACGGTGTCGACATTTCTGAGTTATGCCCGATGGAAGACGCGTGAGTGGGTTATGCTATTTGTAGCAACAAGATGGCCCTCTCCGTTTATTCCGAAAACGATTAGAATTAGCAAGTTAATTTAGGATTTAGGATTTAGAAATCGTGTCAGAATGAGATAGGGATCATGGGTTTGCTTTTATGTTTACCTTATATTAATTAAAAAAAAAAAGAACTCTTTTTACAAAAAGGATTTTTTATCATCATCGCGTTCATTTTGTTTTTAAACTGACTTTCAGCTGTTATTATGCTATTTATTAAAATTTGTGTTTGTAATAAATGCTCAAATACGCTCCCTGCGCAAAAAGGCACTGCATTAAACAACCGAATTTAAATCTAAAACGGAGAGGACCGTCTTGTTACAGAAAGCATAGCCCCCTCACGCGTCTTTCGTCGGGCATAACTAAGAAATGGTCGATCCCGCCAAAATTTTCCTTTCAGTAAAAGTGGCATAAAATAAGCTCTAGAATCAAACTTTACAATAAAAATATAGGATTCTTATTTAAAATAACAAAGTTAGTATTATGTCCCAGGTAGATGAGAAATTGGTCAAGCGGGCCACGAAATTAGTGAATATAATGAATTAAAATGAAGTACACTTCACTAAAGCTCTCCGTCGGCATTTCAATTGTCGTCGAGAATCCAAACCGATTACACGACATTTGGAAAATGGCAAAAGGAGGGAAAACTCATAAGATGGGGTTGAGGTGGGGAGTTGATGTCCGAGTGGATCGAGGTCACGATAGCTCAGGTAGTAGAGCAGCGGCGTATCTAGCCGAAGGTCGTGGGTTCGAATCCCTCTCGTGCCATTAGCTTTTTTTCATCTCAACTAAAAACCTTAATTAATTATAGATGAGAAGTTATGTTAAATTTGTTACCACCAAGCGATCCGTAGCCAAAATTAACTTGGGATATGTATAAGACCATTTTGGGCTAAAGTTCGATTCCGAATTAAATGGATAAACTATAGAAGTTGATATACCCTGTGTATATATATAATTTTTATATATAAAATATTTTTTGGTTAAAATTTAAAAATGTCAAAGAGCTAAAAAGTAGCTCACACCCAAGGGTTGAGATCGTTTTACAAAGTTTTATGCTGTACTTCCATAAAACAATCCTTCACCCCTCTTATCTCTTTATTTTTTGACACTTTACCAACTAGAAAAGAAAATAATGATGAGACGCTGAAATTTCTCGTATGTTTGAACATATAATGTTTATAAGTAATAAAAAATGTTTAGAAAAGGCAGAATGTTTACATTTAGGGTAATATGCTTAGTTGCCGACATATCAAATATTTTTTTGTTTTTAATTGTTTATAATTGTAATATTACATAAGAATATACAGTAAACAAGTTTAAATCTTTATTCCGAGTTACAAACATAAAAATGTGACTGGTGGGGAAAAATGGCCTTTTCGAGCCTGATGGAATTCCGGCTGATAAATCCACAGTCCAAATAACAACTGGATTATGCAGAAAGCATATTTCCGACGCAAAACCCTGCGGAAATTGGGACAGATCCGACTAAAAAAATCCAATTTTGACATCTAGTGTTTTAAAAGGTGTGAACGGATTTTGGTGTTAAACTCTACATTTGTTCACCCTTGGTCTTAAGTCAAACCGAAGTGTTATATAATGAAAATTTTATTCTATAAACGATCTTTGATAAACAAGCCATTATTCTAGTATCTACTCTCAAAATTCTACTTTTTCTTATGTTTCTCATAAATTTTCAAAAAGAAAAAAAAATTGTAGTTTTGTAATGAATGTAATTTTAATCAAAGAACGCTCTAATAATCTTCGCAGATCATCAATTGTTTAACTATAACAACTAATAATAATTTATAATAATAATTAATTATTGTAAAAATCATGCACGAGATGGTTCAAACCTTAAATTTATTACGGGAATTCATTCAAATATACCTTGAATTGATTCAAAAATAGTCTGAAATAGACGAATCTTTTGTCAGAACTGCAAAATATATTGTAAAGATTTTTTTTGTACATACTTTTTTAAATACTATTAATTTTGTTTCTAGTCCTTATAGTATACATTTTAATCTTCAAACATGAATTTTTTACATATGTACAAACTGTAAGTTATCAAACGAATTCGATTTAAAACCATTAAGATAAATTTTTTCTTCGTAGAAATGCTGTTGTAAAAAATATTTCTTTCATTATGCTATACTGCTACATGTATTTAAAAAGTTGCAAGGAAAGGCGGACCAAAATGATCGGTAATTATCGATAATAAGGATAATTTATAAAATTGAAATATTATGTAAAAAATTAAACTTAATTATAATTGATTTTATTTTAACCCAATCTAGTGAACATTTTAATTATTTTAATTTTTAAATATGATCATTTTCACCAAGACTAAAATTTAGACATTCATTAAACTTAAAAAACCGAAATGCTTTGTTTAAAACGTTTGTTAGTTTGCTTTTTTTGAGTAACTAAATTGTATCGGAAGCAATCCACATGCTAAGATAGAAGTCGATAAGTTCATTTCTTAACTAAATACTTTGTCTCAAAACATCTAAGAAAATAAATATTCTTCACTGAAGATGGCGCAATGCCGAAACACGTTTGAGTAAAGACGGACTCAGTAACTTAGCTAAGTCGAACTAGCATATATGTTAATGTTCAATCTAAACAACTATTATGTTGAGTATTTTTGTTATGTATATTTTGTCTTCTGGGGCAGAAAATACTTTTTTTGTTACAAAAGCCAAACTTTAAACAGATTTTTTTAGCAAACAAAAAGTTGGTTTTGTTTAAAACAGATCTAGTTTATTTTTCATTTGATTTTGATGGTCAAACATGTACATTTTTATGACCAAAGACATCACAAAAAAATAAATAAATAAAAAATTTAGAAAAATTATAAAAAACTTTTTAGTTTGCATTTGTATTATGTAAATTAAAATTATTTTAAACTTGATTTTCTTTTAAAACGACCTTGTCAATATTTTGAATTATCCAACTGTTAAATTTATTACGTAAACATTTTCAATGAATAAATTATAAATAATTTTAAACAGCTAAAAAGACTTTCTTTTACTATCGGAACAATAAATAAACCAAAATAGTTTGGAATAAATTACTTCAAAGAAATATTTTTTGAAATGAAGACGTTTCGTTGCAACAGTGTGTTGTAAGTTTTTGTATTTAAAGACAAAGTTCCACCTGGTTTTATTTCAAGTCTACTTAGTCAACATTTCGATGAGGTGATCAAGCGTGTCAATTCTTATATAGACTAATTAAAAAAAAAAACATCAATAGGAATATTTAAGTTTATAAAATAAGCCGACATACTTTGGGAGAAAAACTCAACTTTTCAGTTTGTATTTAAATGTTATATTTTTAGTTATATATTTAGTTTTAAGTCTGAAAACCATCGCAAGAATAAAACAAAGATCCTCCAGGACAAATTATAAATCGGTATAATTTATAATAAAACAGCAACTTTTCAAGTTTTTGTTTGGTGTTATTGAAGTCAAAGTTCTAAATAATAATTAATTTTGGTTTGAATCAATCACCCAATATTTTATTTTATGAATACGTAATTTTTTACTTAGGCTTTAATGACTGTTACATATGTAATGATTAAACATAAGGCAATAATAAAAAAATCGTTTAAACATAATTTAATTCAGCCAAGGTACGATAATAAAATTGCAAATATTCAGTTCTTGTTTTCCTTGGTGTAATTGAAGACGTAGATTCGGTTTTTGTTTTTCATTGACTTAGCTAACATTTTAATGCACAAACATTGATATTTTTGTGAGATTCCTATCAAGAACTGCGAGTACAATGAACCTGGTTTAGTTAGTGTTCAACTCGATCCATCTGTCCTGAGTTTGAGCGTTTTTATAATGCATCAGCCAATCATAAATAAAGAAGTAAAAATGCGAAACATGCCCGTAAAAAAGCACGAAAATGTTTCGACTCAATTTAAGCTGCAGAAATAACATTGAATTTTTTTTTGACAACATGAACAGGAACTTATGCTTATGTTCACACATTTATGACGGTTTATTTTTAATTGATAATTGTACGATTTCACTGAAGATTGCGAAATTACGAAATTACCTGTCACTTCTGACAGATCCAACCAGAGGATAGGCATACCTAAGGAATGGCTAAACCTTCTTGTAATTTTTAAAAAACCTATTTACTGACAATATATATTTTTTAGGAATGGTTAGCCGTTCAATAATAGTAATAGATTACCTCTACAAAGTCTTATTTTAAAAAGAAAATATTTTTCAATTATATTTGAAAACATATAAACTGGCTGAGAGGACGTGAATTCAGCCGCGATTAGAGAAATTGTTGTTTGATTATCTTTTTCTCTTGCTTTTTTATATAACTACACTTGTAAGCCTTGTATTGTTTTGGTATATTAATATTTCGAAAACGGTATTTTCTTTAATATTGGACTGAAACGCATGTCCGGAACATTTGAGAAATTTTAAATTCGTGGATCGAAATGGTGTGATCGTCTTTTTTCGTGCAACGTACCTTGAAACTTGTCGGTAAAATGTGCGTTCAGGGGTTGGGGAGATCGGACTGCCTGTGAGGGCGAAACACCCCCCAGGCGCCCTTTATATACCCCTTCGTCGCGGGGGTAGTGGGGCGTCAACAGGTGTCCGCCGTTCATGCGTCAGCTTTTCAAACAGCTTGATTCCAGCGAAGTTCGTAAATTTTCCATTATTGGCCGGCACTTCACAGCTGATGGAGACGCGGAGCTGAAACGCAAAACGGACAGGAGTACGCGTGAAAATTAACAAACAACAGCTTATAGATTAAAGTAGCCTGAGCATGAAATCTTTTCTGAGTCTCAACTGGGCTAATATGTACATTCAACCAGTAAATCGTTTTATACAATGTAATACATAACAATTAAAATAGAAGATGTTTATGCAACCAAGGATCGGCTTAAAGAAGATAATTAAGTATCTAGTACAGATGGACTATAATAACTAGTTGTCCATAATTAAAAATAATTTAAGGATAATTTTTTTTAATGGCTTTATGTTTGTCATATTAGCCAGATAATTAAAGATTGAGGCTGATCGACTTGCATATATTTATTTTGGAGTAAAGGAAGCGGGAAAGAAAATTCCTGGGGCGACGGGAGCAACCACTTCGCTACCTCAGTCCATCTAATGTAAATATAAAATAAATTAATCACAAATCGTAAAATGAACTTTTATTAAATGCTTACGAATATTTCGGCTTTCTTCAATAAAGCCAACTTGACGAGAGTATTGAGGCTTTGTTTCCGATGTATTTTATTATCATTATAAACTAGAAAGCTCGTTGCATGTAAAAGCGTTGTTCTATCCAGAAATCTTAGTTTTTTTTTTAGACTTTATAATATGTGCAATATATTCTTGAATAGCCGAGCTGGGCGTGTTCGATGTTTATCGCTTTCCAATAAAATGAATTCGATCGGGATCGCTCAGGAATGAAATTATTGACCAATAATGTTAAAATTGCGTTGGTCAGATTTTTTTCAGTCTGTTAAGTTTGAAAAATTTCGATCTCTTTGTTTACTGCAAACCACCGTTGGCTCCTTTGATAATCAACAGTCAGGCGTGTATCCCTTGTTGTTCTTCAAGAAAGGCAAAAGTCCAAATGGGGTTAGGTTTTGTTTAAATGTATTTATATAAGTTTGTTTCTAAAGGACTTACTGCTTTTATTAAATTTGTAAAGACCAAGGATCCTTCTTGTTGGTATGCGTCTTGCTGAAATCACCTTTGTATTCGCATCGTCCCATGTTATCCAGTCCTCCCTTTTAAACACAGTTTGATTTTTGTTTGGCCATAGTTATAATTAAATAACGTTTTTTAAGATTATTAATAAACTAGGGTGTAGGGGGCGTCGGTGGCCACAACGGTTTAGGCGTTGACACGGCGCTCATCACTGTAAGGTAAAGGTCCCGGGTTCGAATCCAGCGGCCCTGCTTTCGAACCCGACATACTTACAAATGGGCTTTTTTTCAAAGACACGGCACCCCGAGGGTTGATATAACCTCTGCTGTTGCGAACCCTCGTAAAAAAACAAAAAAAAAACAGGGTAATTTTAAAGGGTCAACACTTATTGTGTCAATAGCAGTATCTAATAACCACATTTTATATATTTTTAATTAAGAATTTTGGTTTCGGTACCTACCAGAAAATAAATAAGCATCTATCAGCGAACAATTTCTTGTTTTTCAGTTAAGGCATCATTCGGCATCAGGGGTGAGACATGGGGATCATCATCATCATCATCAACATTAACAAAATTACAAAGATTTATATTTGTAAGTGAGAATAAGTGGACGAGGATGATCAGGGATAATCGTTTGCGTTGGAGGTAGGCAAAGCTCAAGAAATAAGCAGCTTCTTGCCTTACCATTTATGCTCCGTCATGCTTTGATCAACCGGAATAAAAAATTGTATCCGGCAAAACCTGCAGAAATAGGAGTCAATGTCTCATCCTCCTTATATCCCTGACGACTGATTATTGTCAGTTAAAGATCAGACAAATTCCTCAGAACAAAAAATAAGGGGTACCGTTTTTAAATTCCAGAGCTGGCATGCACAAAACAGTTTTTAAAAATTAATAATAAACTGGTAAACCGTGTATTCAAATCTGAAATATGTAGGAATATTTTGAGTATAAATAAATAAAAACGCATCCAACTTACATGTTAGGCAAGTAAAACTGGTGTTAATAGAGTAAAAATATTTACAAAACTACGTCTCTGAAGCGTGTTTGAAGGGAAATTTTTTGTTACTGAATTTTAATTGTTTCCTTGTTAACGAGCTGTTCAAAAACCGGGAATGAAACGCCGGACAAAATAACAGATTAGCATGATTGTTTTCCTTTATTTTGATGAAAGAAAAATACTGTCGCCTAATTGCGCGAATAACGGAAAATATTTGCCGAGGAATTTCTCGTAAAATTAATTCAGGAGTGTGTACTTGTACAATTAACAAATTAGTTTTGTCAATGTGTTTTTTTTTATATTTCTTTTTCGAAACTTCATTATAGAATTACTATTGATGTACCATAACTGATCATCAGGGACAAAAGAAGGGTGAGAAAAACACTACTTCTATTTCTCCAGGTTTTTCCAGGTATAACTCTTTATTCCGGTTGACCAATGGATAGCGGGATATCAGGGGTGAGGCGAGCAGATTTCCGCATATTATCACCTATAAATATAAACCTTTGTAATTACTTTGTTTAATGTTGCTAATTTGAATTTTTCATAACATTTAAGTTTAGTGCGTTAACTTGATACGTGCAATACATTTTTGAATAACCGGGCTTGGTGTGTGTTAGATGTTTATCGTTTCCTAATAAATTGAGTTTGATGGGGATCGCTGAGGAGTGGAATTATTGGTCTTATTATGTCAAAAAGGCAAAATTGCGTTGGTCAGGTTTTTTAGTCAGTTAAGAAGATTCTAGCTGGAAGAAATTCGATCTCTCCTTTCCCCCGTCTATTTATGATGCGTGGTTTCTCTATCAATAAAGTTTTACTTTGGTTGGTCAAAGAAAAGCGCGATGTCAGGAAAATAAGAAGGAGGAGTCAAGACCCAATTAATTTCTTCAAGCTTTGCTTTTGTACAATAGTTATGTTACAAATTCAGGTTGATCAAAACAAGTGATTTCTTTAAAAAATATCAAAAAGACTATCGAAATGTTTCAAAAAACATAAAACCTTACGAGTTCTTAATAACCCAAAATACTTTCCAAACTACTCCTTGGCAAACAGATAATTGTGCCATATCACCTTTTAACGTTGATAATTTTTTAATATGCCAATCGCGATGCCATATTTAATATACCAATCACGATGCCACTACTCCAGAATACAATTTTGCTAAAAAGTACGAGGTACTGATACCATAACGGGAAGAATGGGCCAAAGGGACACCGCTAAAGGCAAAATCCAACTGGTGCACTGACGGCTCCAAAACCGAGAAGGGCACCGGGACTGGAATCTTCGGGATGAATCCAGAGACTGGACTGTCGGTAAACCTAGGTACATATTCTATAGTTTTCCAATTTGAAATCATAGCGATTAAACACTGCGCCAGGGAAATAATAATGCTAGGGTATACATTCCCGGAACATAGCCGTCTTCTGTGAAAGTCTGGTAACACTAAAGGCCCTAGACTCATGCCAAGTGAAGGCAGAGTGTCTGGAACTACTTGCAGGCCCTGTCGGAAGTCAGCGACACCAATGACCTGACATAGATCAGGGCATAGAGGCAACGAAAAAGTAGACATGTTGACCAAAGAGAGTTCCACCATGGACTCTCTACGTCCTGAACTCTAATGTGGCCTAGCATCTTGCCACAAAAAAGGATACAACTCAAAATGGATCCTTAATGAGTTCAAAACCTGGTGGAACAATACCACAGGCATGAGACACGCGAAGAGATTCGTAGAAGAGCCATCCGCAAAACTTACAGAGGAATTACTGAAAGGCAACTGCGACCGAACCAGGATTCTGGTTGGACAGGGCATAGCCAACTAAGAAAGCACGTGCACCGGATAGAATACAGACAGAAGAAACAATGTGCAGATACCGCCAGGAAGAGGAGGACACCGCAGAACTCATTTTATGTTTTTATGAAGGTCAATGAAGGTTCAGACACGAGGACTGGAAAAGGCACAAGCAAGATCCTACACTAAGAAGCCTCTGGCAAAGCTATAGTGGTTTGTTAATAACCTGAAGCTAGACAGTGAGTTATGAAAAACAGGGGAGGACAATAGATCTCAGGTCTCTCTAAACTTAAGGAGCAGAAGGCTATATGGCCGCCTCTTTTATCCCTATCCCTTAATATGCAGGGATATGCATTAACTATATTTATTTTAATTAATCAGCAACCATCCACATTTTGAAGTAAATTTGACCATTGCGTTTTTGGCTTTGGCCTCTGAAAAGTCATAATCACACATCAAATTGAAGAAGGCTTAAAGTAATAACCATTATCCCCTGCCGAAACTGTTTTTCGTCCATAATAAATTTAAAAATAGGTTTAAATAATTTTCGTTATGTTAAATTTAACATGCTACATACTTTGTTTTCCTTTGAACGTGAAATCGAAAGGGGATTGTTTTTTATTCTTTGCATCGTAGCTCATTAACGTTATCCGTATTTTGGTTAAATATTTTGAACCAAAACACATCCAAGGCGAGTGACACTTTTGATCGTTATGTTATGCAAATTAACTAATGCCACTTTGCATATCTCTGTTTTCTGCCTGTGAACATTGGGGGCATATTTAAGATTGCTAATTACTCTTGGGCTTTGTTGTCCTTCCTCACGTCCTAAAAAACAGCCGGCAACGATTTACACAATTTTACAAAGTCGTTTTTCTATTTCGTCTTTTCTGCTGATTTTGTCATTCAGTGTTAAAAAATCCGTTCATTCACCTTAAAAATTATGCTTAAGAAACTTGAGGAGAACGTCTTTCCCAAACATTCGTGAACAAATAACAATATAAAAATAAAGTGAACGGCATACAGCATGAAACACAGTTTTTTTATGCAAATCATCAAATTATTAA